CAAAAGAGGGGGTGGGTCACGTGACCCCCGAGGGACACGGCATAAATATGAATCGGTTGCCAAGGGTCTTAATTTTGATCTCCTGGTGTTTGGCCTAAAGTCACTCAACCAGCTTTTGTGGCTAAGGCGGGACTAGAACTCACGGTCTCCTGGTGATTGGCCCAAAGTCACTCAACTGGCTTTCATGGCTAAGGCGGGACTAGAACTCACAGTCTCCTGGTGATTGGCCCGAAGTCACTCAAATGGCTTTCTTGGCTAAGGCGGGAGTAGAACTCACGGTCTCCTGGTGATTGGCCCGAAGTCACTCAATCGGCTTTGTGGCTAAGGCGGGACTAGAACTCACCATCTCCTGGTGATTGGCCCAAAATCACCCAGCCTGCTTTTATGCCTAAGATGGAACTAGAACTCAGCATCTCCTAGTGATTGGTCCAAAGTCACCCAGCAAGTTTTCATGCCTAAGGCGGGACTAGAACTCACCGTCTCCTGGTGATTGGCCCAAAGTCACTCAAATGGCTTTCGTGGCTAAGGCGGGACTAGAACTCACCGTCTCCCACTTTCTAAGTCTGGTGCCTTAACCCCTGGACCAAACTGGCTAGCATAATGTAAATAGAACAATATAATACAATGGCTGAGTTAGGATTTGTTGGGCGTTGTCATCCCATCACAATCGCAACAAGCCCAGTGTGAAGAAGGCTGAACTGTTGCACCCACCTGCCGAGCGTGCTGGACACACTTGAAGTACTCAGCAGCCAAAGCTGAGCAGCTGAGGGTCTCCTTTGGGTTCTGCTGATAGCACTGGAAGATCTGGTTCTGGAGATCTACACACACGGGATCAACCTTGTACCGCCTGGAGGAAGGGAAGAGGAGCGAGAAGGAAGAGTTACACAACTTCAAAGAATTGTTCTCACACGTGAAGTGATACACCCTCCAGGCTCAAAATAACAGAAAACAGAACTAGAAGGGACCTCGGAGGTCTTCTAGTCCAACCCCCTGCTCAAGCAGGAGACCCTCACAGAATCATAGAACAACAGAGCTGGAAGGGACCTCGGAGGTCCTCTAGTCCAACCTCCTGCTCAAGCAGGAGACCCTCACAGAATCATAGAACAACAGAGCTGGAAGGGACCTCGGAGGTCCTCTAGTCCAACCTCCTGCTCAAGCAGGAGACCCTCACAGAATCATAGAACAACAGAGCTGGAAGGGACCTCGGAGGTCCTCTAGTCCAACCCCCTGCTCAAGCAGGAGACCCTCACAGAATCATAGAACAACAGAGCTGGAAGGGACCTCGGAGGTCCTCTAGTCCAACCCCCTGCTCAAGCAGGAGACCCTCACAGAACCATAGAACAACAGAGCTGGAAGGGACCTCGGAGGTCCTCTAGTCCAACCCCTTGCTCAAGCAGGACACCCTCACAGAATCATAGAACAACAGAGCTGGAAGGGACCTCGGAGATCCTCTAGTCCAACCCCCTGCTCAAGCAGGAGACTCTATACCATTTTAGACAAATGGTTGTCCAGCCTCCTTTTTAAAAACACCCACAACTTCTGCAGTTGTAAACCAAGTTCCTAACAATTATCTCGTTTAGCAGCAGACATTTTGGGCTCAATTGTGGTTGTAGGTTGAGGACTTACCTGCAGTTTTACCTCTCCTTTGATCTCTTAACTACAGGTAGTCCTCGACTTACGACAATTCATTAAGTGACCGTTCGAAGTTACCATCGCACCGACGTACGACTTGTTCTTCACACCAACAAACGCTGCAGTGATCAAAATTCGGCCGCTTGGCTATTGGCTCGTATTTACGACGGTCGCAGCGTCCCCGGGGTCATGTGATCCCCTTTTACGACCTTCGGACAAGCCAAGTCAATGGAGGGGAAGCCGGATTCGCTTAACATCCGTGTTGCTAACTGAACTACTGAGGCGATTTACTTCACAACCGTGGCATGGAGGCTTGTAACACGGGGCAAAACTATCTCATTTAGCAACAGAAAGTTTGGGCTCCGTGGTGGTCGTAAGCCGAGGACTGCCTGTACCTGCTCTTCCTCTCGTTAAATAAATGCGATTAAAGCTGCGGAGCCCTCAGCCTTCCTGCAGGTGTTCTTCCAGGGGCATTTTGCAAAAACCAGGGCGGCAAAAAGATCCTTGTAAGATCCCCGGGATGTGGTCACGCCGCAGCCCTTGCCGCTTTGCTTTAATAAAGCCCCTGTCGATCGAAAAGAGATTTCTAATGCATCAGACAAGGAATGGGGCGGATGAGAAATTAAATTCCCATTGACCGAGCCATTTTTTTCCCCCTCTGCAATTAAACTCGGATAGCGGCTTTAAAATAACATAATGCGGTGGCCGATTGTGTTCCTGCTTGCATCGTTTCCACGCTGGGCAGAGAGACCAATATAATCAAGGAGAGAAGCAACCTAGAACTAAGGAGAAATTTCCTGACAGCCAGAGCAATTTAACCCGTGGAACTACCTGCCTCCAGAAGTTGTGGGTGCTCCAACACTGGAAGTTTTTAAGAAGAGACTGGACAGCCATTTGTCTGAAATGGTATAGGGTTTCCTGCCTGAGGTTGGACTAGATGACCTCCAAGGTCCCTTCCAACTTTATTATTATTATTATTATTATTATTATTATTATTATTATTATTATTATTATTATTATTATTATTATTATTACTACTACTACTACTACTACTACTACTACTACTACTATTATTATTATTATTATTATTATTATTATTATAGATGCAGCCGGACCTTCCCCGTGAGTGTGCACGGATACAATTTCTGGATTGCACAAGCCTCTCGCATCCTTTGAACCCAAGCCCGGCCCGCTCCCCTTCTTGGCGGGGTCCGTTCCTTAAGAGTGAAACCTTAGACTGCTCCGTGGAATCCTTTTCTTCCCTAGAAGATGATCAAAAAAACCAAGTATCTTGGTCTCTCTTTCTCTGGCGAAGGGGGAGAAAATAAAAGAAAAAAAGAAAAAAATCTCCAATTTTTTTGTATTTGGCCCCCGAAAAGACCCTCCTGGGATAATGAAGCCGAAATGTAATGTTGCGTGTACCTGAAAGCCAGTTTGATGCTAGAGTGTTACATCTGATCTTTGGGAGAAGGAGTGAGGTTGATTTCATTTAAGGATGGAGAGCAGAGGAGGTCAGAGATATAAAAAGGAAGAAAGGGGGGGAAAAAAAAACTCAGCTCCAAGGATAGCGAAAGACGCTATAAAGATTTTATTGGTCTAGCTTACGGGTGGTTTATATGAGCCCCAGGCCTATCACAACGGCAGTTGGAGTTGGAGTTATGCGGCACTTCCTAAAAAAGAGAGGTAATAAAAAATGGACAGGACGTTTTGTGTGTGTGTGTGAGAGAGAGAGAGAGAGGAAAGAAAGAGAGAGGAAAGAGAGAGAGAGAGAGGAAAGAGAGAGAGAGAGAGAGAGAGGAAAGAGAGA